GGCTATAAATACACTTCTACATTCTGATTCCCATGTTTACAGACCTACAGCTGATTACCCATCACCCCAACCTGGGTGCCTGTTGGGCATCTCTGACTCAACATCTCCAAACAGAACAAAGGATATGTTAGGAGTATCTCTGGTTGCATACAATAGAAACTTAACTGGATTTCTTGAGGAAGAAAGAGTTTTATTATTCTTGTACACAAGAAAATTAAAAGTAAGCAGTCCCAGGTGATAGAGCAATTCCACTACATCACATTCCGGACTCCACCTGTAATCCTGCTTCACCAGCCTTACCTTCACAGTTGATTTTTACCCTATAGTTATAACATAGCTGCCATCCTTCCCGGCATTGCTTCTGCATTCCTGGCAGAAAGAAATATTGCTTCTTGTGAGAAAATAGGAACACTGCCTAGTAGACTTGTGCTGCATTTCATTCACAACCCTGTCATATGCCACTGTAATTACAGGGGAACTTAGAAATTCAAGAGTTTTAACTCAGCATGTTGGCACTCTAAATGACATTTTTTTTTTAAATTGTTGATGGTAGTGGTGAACTTTTGGTTTTTGGTTTACAAAGAGGGAATGAGTATTGGGCAGGCAGCTAGCAATGGCAGCCACATTCCCCTATTCATGTGGGATTAGATTTGGTCAAAGTGACTCTAAAACCAAAATAATGGTGACACTAACAAATCTCACTTTGCCTGGGCTGTCGAGGCAGTTTTGTGATCATCAGGGACCTGGGCTTTTGTTGCTGTCCATTCTTAATATGCAGCTTCTGCCTCATCATCAAAGGTGGCTGCTACTGTGTGGGTAGTTTAGCTAGCAGAAGGGGAAAAAGAAAAGACAGTAGCCCTACCTTTGAGAACGCTTCCTGAAAGTTGCACATATATGTTTGTTTACCTACCTGTGATCAGAATTCTGTCACATAGCCACACATAGCTTGAGGGGGAGGAGGGTTTGAGAAATGTGTTCCTTATTCTGAATGGCCACATACTCACCTGAGGATCAGGAGTTGTATTCTGTAGAACACAGGGACAGTGGATTTGAGGGGAAAATTAGTCCATGAGCCACTTATCTCAATCTACTACTTTTCAGTAAGGTGACTACCAGGTCACTCATAGAAGGGCTGCCAGGGAAATTAAAAAACCTAAGAAAGGGGCTGGGGCTATAGCTCAATGGCAGAGTGCTTGCCTACCATGTGTGAGGCACTGGGGTTTGATCCTTAGCATCACATAAAAATAAACAAATAAAATAAAGGCATTCTGTTCATCTACAACTACAAAAAAGTTTTGAAAGAAAGAAAATACCTAAGAGGGAAGATCTGTCTTAGAGCTATCCTAATTGCTTCTACTTTGCACACACACCCCGTGACCTTCCATCTGCCATCTCCATGGCCAGCACGCAGTCATAAACACCATCACCTTTTGCCTGGGTTTCTGTAGGCGCTTCCGACTGTTTTCCCTAGTCTTACTCCAGGCCCTGGGTCGTCCATATTGCTCCTGGAACCCAGCATGTTTTCCTTAAAGTCAAAATCATATCACATACCAGCTTCCTGCCTTGCAGTATCTGGCACTGCCACCTCTCATCCAGTCCATCTCCTGCTTTCTAGTTTTGAATACCTGAAGCCTGTCACTCCTATAACGTTCCTCCAGCTCCACACCTGGGTCCCTCACAAACATGATTCAGGTTGCTCCTAGATTCTCCCACCTCACACAGGCCTTCCCAGCTGCTAACCGGTTTCTGATGCTGGCTGTCTTTGCCCTGTTTTATCAACTGCTTACTGTTTGTTACATTTATTGTTAATTGTTACTGTTTATGTAAGCTGTATGCAGCAGAAATGTCCCCAGCACCCAGGAGCATGAAGGAGCTCAATCTGTTGAATATTCCATGACTACCTTCAGGGGCTCCATTTTCTCTGGAACTTTTTTCTGACTGGTGGAAGAATAATGTGCTTTAATGAATTCTAGAACTTACTCAGTGTTTCTGTACTATTTACTTCATGGAACTAACCTCACTTTGGATAGCTCCCCTCCCCAGATCCATGGACTTTCTACTACAACCCAGACTGGTTGTTCTTTAGGCCTCTTCTGCCATCTTTGGATTTCCACCCCAAAGGGGCAGAGCTATGAGTTCTAATCCTATTTCTTCTCCTCTTTGCGTTAAGCTCTGTTTTCTGGAATTAAGTTCTCAAACAAGGCATAGGAGATGAATGTTCTGAGTCTGCATGTCTGAAAATGCCTTCATTCTCTCACTTGATTGGTAGTGTGGTTGGTTGTGGAAGTGCGTTTTCAGGTGAAATCTTTGGGGTATCTTTCCGCATCCATTGTTGCTGTTGAAGAATCAGTTGCCACCAGAGACATGTTTCCCCTGTTTGCGACCTCATGTTTTCCCCTGTGCTCTCTCTATCATTGATGATCTGAAATCCCAACAGACATATAATATATTTTAAAAAAATATATTATGCTGACACCCAATTAATTCTTAATCTGAAGACATAATCTTTTTTTTAGGTCATATGAAAGTGATTTTTATGTCTGGGTTGCATTCTATTCTTAATGGATTATTAAGTCTAATTTCAAACATCCTGGATTTATTCTCTTTATGTTTTATCGTTTCATTGACCCTTTCTTTCCTTTGTTCTACATTTTGGAAGATTTCCATGATTTTGTATTCTACCACTTTTTTAAAAAAAAAATTGTGTCATTTTTTAAATTTTCAGAAGATCTTTCCTCTTTTCTGATTGTTTCTTCATTATAGTAATCTGTTCTTTTTTTTATATAGAAGCATATCTTCTCAAGTCTTTCTGCAGGTAATAAAACAAATTGTTAAAGATCTCACCTGTTATTTGATGTGTCTGTTTCTTTTGGGATTAGTTGTTCCATTTGTTGTTGTTGTGGTGGTTGTTATTGTTTTGGTCCCTTTTCTTTCATAGTGCTGGTTTTCCTATGAAACTGAACCTTAATTGCCCATCCACCTAGATTAATTATTCCAGTATTCTCTGTCTTGAATACATAAATCTGCTCCTTCTACTGAGTGGGTGGAACACAGGGCTGTATTTCTGTCTTAGTCTCATCTTGTCCCATTCCCTATGGCTCCTTGCTTTTTTAAAAACACTATCAAGATTAAATCCAGGCATCAGTAACCTTTTTTAAAAGGGTATTTGTTTTTTCCTCTCAAAAAAAGCCTGGCAGTGGGCAGTCCAGAGTTGATATGACAGCTCCAGGAGACTGTCCTGCACCCTGGCCTTTTCTTTCTCCTTAGTCACTTAGAACACCTGTCCTCTGTCTTCAGAATTCCCTCATGAAAATAAATGTTTACAGTTGCTCCATAGGCACATGCTAGGCAGGAAAAGGGTGAAGGGGGCATGGGACTGAAGGTGCAGCCAGTTGAGTCTGGTTCACGTGGAAAGTGTATTTATGGAAAGTCTTTTGCTGTGGCTTCTGATTATATTGCGTTGGCTTCCACTATCCTCAAGGGGCGTTGGGAAATTTAGTTTTTTTAGCTAATAATGAAATACATTATTTCCCCCAATTTTATAGGAGTTCTGTTGTTAAGGAAGAATAGATTTTGAGTTTGCAGCCATTGCCTTCACACTGTGATTTCAGTGGTACTTGGAAGAAGGGAGGAGTCCACCCAGGCTCGGCCTCAATACTTGAAATGGAAGTGCTAATCTTTGAAATGCAGAGTCTTCCTCTTCATGCCTGGAGTGGCTGATGTTGAATGTATTCTTCATAGGGGAAGAATTTTTATTATATGTTTAATGACCCATATTTAATTGTGTGCAATTTCTTATTCATTATGATGCTTTTTTCTTTGCATGTGTTGGGAAGGAGGAACCTTTGCAGGTTTTTCCAAATCTTGAATTGGACCATGAGATTCACTCTATTTTTAGAGACAGTGTGTTAGTCTCCTACTGGTAATGTAACAAAGTACCATAAATGTAGTGACTTAAGATAACACTAATTTATGATCTTGTACTTCTTGAGCTCAGAAGTCCAAAGTGAGTTTTCTGGGCTAACATCCAGGTAGTCAACAGGGCTATGTTCCTTCTGGAGGCCATAGGGCAACATCTGTTCCAGCTTCTAGAGGTTTCCTGGATTTGAGGTCTCTCATTTCAAAGCCAGTCCCCTGGCATCTTTCAGTCTTTTTCTGGCTCTGACCCTCCTGCCTCCCTTTTGTAAGGATCCTTGTGATTGCATCGAGCCTAACCTGATAATCTAGGATAATCTACCTGTTTTAAAATCATTAATTTAACCAAATCTGCAAAATCCCTTTTGCCATATAAGGTAACATTCACAGGCTTAGGATTTGGTCATCTTTGGGAAGGAAATTATTCTGCCTACCACAGGCAACTGTAACTCAATTTTGAACAGAATTTTCTTTATATCATTTCCTGAAACTGCTGCCTAGGAAGACGTAGCTAAGAACTATCATTCAGTTTTCATGAACAGAATATGAACTTAATTGTTAGGGATGTTGGAAAGATTATCCTCCATTCCATTATAGAATTGTCAAGAACCTCTGCAAGCAATATGGTCTAATTCATGTGGCATTTCTAGGGACAGTGGTTATAAACAATTGTATTCGGTTTTGCTTTCTTAGGTGAAAAATATGTGGAAAGACTTTTTATCAGAATATTACTTGAAACAAAATTTTGTTCCATTGATTTCTTTTACAAAATAAATATATTTTTAAAACTTTTTTTTTTTTTTTACTTTTTGTCTCGTTTACTGAACTTTTGCTTTTTTCAGGAAAAGTAATTTCAATATGAAATATCAATAGTAACAACTACCAGAACACAACATTCTTGTTCTAAAATCTGAACAGTTAGGACAACTAAGTAACGAATTTTTTTGACAAAATTCCAGCATAATTATCTTCTCCCCACCTTTTATTATTATTATTATTAGCTATAACAGTGTTTTACTTTCTTTTATTGGTTCCCTGCTCATAATGTCATTATAATTTTTTTTCTCATATTCTTGTCTTTATAGCTTAAGAAATGTATAAAAACTCCAGAAATCCCTTCTAAACATGTCAGAAACTGGGTCCCAAAAGTTTTGGAACAGCGACGACAAGGTTTGGAAACTTATTTACAGGTAAGATATGTTTAGATCCTCAGTTAATATAACCTAAATAGTTGTATGTCTTACTATTTTTAAGAGTATATGAGAGTGATAAAAAAATATATAAAGAAGCAAAATATTCTTAATTAAAATAAAGGAAGTTTTATAATTATAAAATGTTGTTGGTTCATTGATTCTAATTAGTTTCTATTTAAAATTGGTTTTTGCTATGGGGAAGTGAAAATATGGTACAAAGGGAAAAACTGACATAAAGAGGACCTATCCATTTTTTAAACTCACCTCTACAAGCACTTTGGTTTTGTGTTTTGTTTTCTTCCCCGGGTTTATTGCTTCCTCATAGCAGCCTCAACCTTCAGGTTTTGGGTGTTTGGGGACAGATTGGTTTAGTAATAAAAAGTGAATTTTTAGTGGACCCCACTAATATACCTATAGAATCACACTGAGGGGGTATCACCTCTAACGAAGCACCTCCTTCTTTGAAAATTAGAGTCTATGTGTAGGAAGAACACATTAGGAGCTCTTCTGCAGCAGAAGAGAAGCAGAACTACCTGAGTGAGACCAAGGCACTCTCCACTGGTGAATGAAAAGCAAAGGGAAAAGGCTGAACAGTTTCAGCTTCTCTGAACTTAAAACCAAAAGCCCCAGAGGCCTGTGGTAAACATTCAGTGAAAACAAAACACAAGTCCAAGACAATGCTCAGGGCAGGGTTGGGATAGGCCACCTGAGGTCAGCTAGTGCTCCTCACCTGAGCCAGAGAGGATCCATGTGTGGGAATGACTGAGGCAGACAGGGCAGGAGCAGAGAAATCTTGCCTCTCAAAAAAAAAAAAAAAAAGGAGCTGGACTTCACTAAGAGTTAGGAATTCGTGACTGATTCTTCCAAGACATGTTCCGTCAGGGAAATAAGCAGCCACAACTATATTCTTCCTTTAATATCATAGGAAGAGGAGGGAGTGTGTAAAGCCACTGTGCTTTTTCCTCTACAGAGGATGGTTGTGCCTGAATCACTGGTGATTCGATGCTGAGGAGAGGCTGTGCTTGGTGATAAATTCAGAGGACTTCTCTCAGATGGCAGAAGTCTTCTCCTGGCCCCTGTAGTTGGCCTGGTCTTCACACACTGGCATGCTCAAGGCAGCTGGGATGTGTGAGGGGGACTTTCTTCACTGTTCTTGGTCTTTTCCTTTTGGCCTTGGTGGAAGGATTCTTCACCGTCTCTCTCTGAGGGTGAAACAGCTTAAAGGAAACGGGGATCACCAATCACAGGAATGTGTGTGTGGCCGGTTCCCCAGACTCTACGTGACTCCCATAGCTTCAGGCAACACTTCAGAGCAAAAAAACAAACCAAAACCCAAAAAACAAGACTTCAGAAATTGTATGCAAAGGGTAAAAATGCATGTTCTCTATAATTAAATAGAATAGGTAAACAATGCATTTTCATTTGTAAGCCAGATTTTCCACAGATATTGTATATCTTCAAGCTTTAGTTCCAAAGAAAGCTTTATTCTTTTCCCCCATTGTATTTGACACATGACTTCCATTACTACTCAGTGTAAACATTTTAAGTTGTTTGTACTTTGGATATAAATATGTGGATAAAATCATCTGGCACAGAGAGGAGTTTATAGTGATACTCAAATTGAGCTTAGAATTTTCTATTCTCAGAAATAGGGCTTGAAAGATGTGGTTGAAGGGCCGAGAAGGCTTGTTTCCTGTTGTGCTTTTAATATTCAGTTTGTTGTCACTTCATTCCCCAGAGGAGTTCAAGGGAGTTCTTCTTCCTTTTCTACCTGATTCTATCTGCCCGCAGTGGAGTTAGCCGGAAGTTGCAGAGATGAATGTAAATGCTTTATTAATCCCAGGTGAAAAGCAGACCCTGGCTCTAGGGGTCATTTCTTGATTTTTAGTATTAAAGTTTTTAATAAGATAATATTACTGTTTCTTTTGCTTGCCTGTCTAGCTCCAGTTACATATTAGTCTAAACCCCAGGGAGTGGGTGTCCCCGAGCCCTCCTCAGCAGGCACCATCTTGCTGCTAGTCTGTCTGAAGAGAGTGCTCCTGATTTGGCCCATGAACCTCAGAAAGTACTAGTACCCCAAGCTCAACAGGAGCTTAGCTGTTACGTTTTCTCCAGCTTGCCTCCTACCCATCAGGTATGTTCAGGATCACCCCTCTGACCTTGATTTCCCACCCATAAAACAGGCAGGTCAGCTTTTGTGAGGGTCAGAGGAAAAACCTTTTTCTCTTCTTGAGAGGGCAACCTTCTGCACTCCTAAGAGAGCCCAGGCTGCTCTTTCATGTTAGAGACAGAGAAACTAGGTCTAGTGCTGTTCAGAAACTTGCCTTCTCCTGAAATTACTAGTTAAAAGATTTGGACTGGAGTTTTAGTTTCCTAATGACCAATTTAGTCTCTTTTCCTTGTATATTGTAGATTTTCTAAATTAGGTAAAAATTTTTAGCCTTTGCATATGCCTTTAAGTGGATTAAAAACAAACACTTTATAATCAAAAACTACCAACCCAACTCCCTTGATAGATAGACATATGATTTTTTAAAATAATTTTAAAAAACATTTATTTTTTAGTTGTAGGTGGACACAATACCTTTATTTTATTTTTATGTGGTGCTGAAGATCAAACGAACCCAGTGCCTCATGAATGCTAGAAAAGTGCTGTACCACTGAGCTACAACCCCAGCCCAAAAGCTACTCTCCAGTAGAAATCTTATGTCTTACAGGAGAAAAAAGGATGCACAACAAATAAAAGTAACATGCAATCTCCACGATACTTAAATAATTGTCTTGTAGCATGTAGATGATGGGCTCTAATCAGTGCCTTTTACTTTCCAAAACTTCTGCCAGATTTGGAAATGGTTATTTCCACATAGTCTAACAATGTAACAATGACAGCTATGGCTATTTAGTATTACTTACCATTACTTACTTAGGAATTAAAAGAAAGAAAGAAAGAAAAAGAAATAATACAATGCTATTTAGTAAGTTTTTTAAAAATTTTGTAAGTACACTTTTGAACCATGATCACTTTCCTACTTAACATTTTTAAATCATTTGGTTAGAAACAAATTATTTTAAAAAATTAAATATCCAAGAACACACAGTATCTTAGAACAAAAAAAACTAAGTTAGCCAATGAGAGGTTAAAAGTTACATTGGACATATGAGTGATTTGAAGTATGGCATTCTATCTGATGAACAGTGATTATTATTTCATTTTCGAGAATAATTTTCTATGTATTGAATAGGAAATCTATCCTAGGAAATCTAGCTCTTAGTTGTGTTCATCTTCTTCCCCAGACAAACTCCCTGAGGTTTCACAAATGAGGGAATTGATCCATGTAAAAGTGGAATTAAGTAAAACAAGGTTTTTCTACATGAATGGAAGAACACCAATTCATTTTAATTCCAATAAAAAATTCATGCCAAATAAAAATTTTATGAAGTAGCAAATTTTTGTTTTCCAAAATATATATACAGATGTGCTTCAATTTATGATAGGGTTATGTCCTGATTAAACCCATCGTAAGTTGAAGATATCATAAGTTGAAATGCATTTGACACACCTGACCTTCCAGCATCACAACTTATCAACACAGGAGTAAACTTTAGAGTACTGGTGTATACACCACGGTCACATGGCTGGCTGGGAGCCTTAGCTCACTGCTCCTATCCAGTATCATGAGAGTGTCATACCACATATTGCTAGCCTGAGAAAAAGACCAAAATTCAAAATTAGAGGTACAGTTTCTACAGGATGCATATAACCTTTGCACCATTGTTAGGTTGAAAACTCTTAAGCTGAATCATTCTAATTGAAGTCCATTTGTACTAGAAATTCATCTACTTTGGGAGATGTTTTAACAGGAAGATAAAAACAAGTTAATATTTTACTCTAATTTAATGAGAAATGTTATATGCATATACAGAGTTTTGCTTAAAGATAAGCATTCATCAGGCACTTGTGGTATTTGAGGCAAAAGGGTATATCTAGCTTCAGAGGAGCCTTGAACCATATCCCAGTTAAGTAATCATAGTTATTTTATCCATTTCTCTTTTCTGTTTTCCATGGTACAAGCTTCATTGGGCCCCTTTCTGATACAAAAGGGCTACAGTGGTTCCAGACCTCTCCTACTGTTATCAAATACACCAGAGCCCTAGGGAAGAGTAGGGTCTCTTTTAGTAGTACAATGGAAGAAGGAGAAAGTGCCTTTGCTTAGAAGTCTTCCTGGTCTCATTGGTTTATCTTTGCACATGTGCCTACCTCTGAACCTCACTGTGGCTAGTCAGATTCTACTCTTGAAGCTAGGGGGGAGGTTGGGTCATTTTCATAAGAAATAACTAGGGTGTTCTTGGTAAAAGAAAAAGGAATGTCCTGGGTGTGAGTGGAGGAGCAGAGGCAACCAGCAAATGCACACTCCAGAAAACAGTGATGTTCAGATAACTCAGTATTTATTGATCAACCTCTCTGCATGTACACCTCCTATCCTCTGGTAACCGCTGTTCTACTTTTAAATTTCATGACATCAACTTTTTAAGATCCCACATATGAATGAGATCTTATGGTATTTTTCTGTGCCTGGATTATTTCACTTAAAATAATATCCTTCAGGTTAATCCATGTTGTCACAAATGATAGAAATTCATACTTTTTTATGGCCGAATAATATTCCTTTCCATATACCACATTTTTGCCGCAGTCCAGCTGCAGCAAACTAGCCGGGGAGTGACGAACAACTTGTGTAGATTGATACAGCAGGAATAGGAGCCGTTTATTGCAGGACAGGAGCAGTATTTATACATTCCACACAGCTTATCTAATTAGCATAAACTAGATACATCAGTCAACCAATAAGGAATCTCCACACTTAATGGCTCACTGGTGTTACTTCACAAACCACTCCCTCTGGCATTTTGCCAGGCACCATCCAGACTTGTTTACAGACTCCAACATTTCTCTGGCAAAATGCCAGGCGCCATCCAGACTTGTTTACACACTCTAA